GAGTCTAGTAGTAGGAGCAGTGGGCAGCTAGTGTACAGCGCCCGGGGAGCAATGGGAGTGTCCGGTGCCTTGCTCAAGGGCACCACGGCAGGGCGAACTGGGACCTCTCCAAGTAGCAGTCCACACTCCATATTTAGGTCTGTTCGGGGACTTGAACCGGTGACCCTACGGCTCCCAGTCCAAGCCCCTACTGACTGAGCCGCTGCCGGACTAAACCCCAGATAAAGGCCATCATCTGTTTTAGAAAGTCAAATAAACATCTAACAGTTTTTACACAACTTCGAAATGTAAGGTTTAAAGTTAAGGTTACTATTTTCATTCTTAAACACTGAATTGAAGTCATTTGGAGTGATATGATGAGACGTGGAGAACAAAGAGAAGTGTCTTAAAGATTGTGAAGCTGTGAGTGACTGGTTACAAAATGACATGGCAATAAACCCTATTTAATTTAGTCTTAAATTACATTATTTAATTTCATATTCTGTTCTTGTACATATATTCTATTGACATGTATATGGACTTTTTGCACTACTTTGTATTTATATATGTTGCATTGTTGGAGGAGCTCAGGTCAGAAGAATGTCATGGCCATTTCTACTCTGCAGCTTTGAATCTTTTGAAACATGCAGTCGTGGTAAAAGCCTACCTTCTGCCTCAGGTAGACGCTGCTGAGCGGAGCCACGTCGCACGCTTTGTGTTTCCCGAACACTTTGCACATGGAGCAGGTGGGCGTCTCACAGGAGAGACAGTAGATGTTGATCCTCTCCTCTTCGTGATCCTCACACACGAGCTGCTGCTCAGGCTTCATGGGGACAGGCCTGGGACACAAAGAGTAACAACAATAGACATCAATCATCTAACTTTCATGCATACTTTTTTTTGAAGTACATGTATATTGAATTAATACATTAGGTACAACAATCTAATACAAATACCGTAAATGTATACATATATGCATGTAAAGAATCATAATATACCGTATATAAAATATATACATGGGTTAATAATAATAATAAATAAATACAATACAAATATACCATTCATATTTACATACAGTATATATGCAATAAGTTAATACATAAAACTGAATAAAGAAAGAAAGAAAGAAAGAAAGATATTTATGTAAAGAAGGCACAATTTAAAATACAAAGGCAAATTCTATAACACACTATAAGATACCTAACTTAAATATGAATGTTGGACACAGTAAACATAGGACAAGTGTGCAAAGTAGATTGTATATTTAAATAACTTGAGTATGTGCTAATAATGCAGGGTTTCTGTTGTTGCAGGAAATACTTTCTTGCGACGGCAGAAACTGGCTCACAACACCTCCTAAATCTCCCTCTAGTGACCTCACATGGACACAGAAGGATAGAGGCTCCATTGTGCTCTGACGTCGGTGTCCCTGACAGAAAGGATGAGTAAGTCACGAGGAATCTTTTTACGCACAAAAACGATGAGAAACTACAAAACACTTGTGAACAATCACATCTATTTTAGCCCACACATAGTGAGGGGACTCCTGTGCTTCTGTCCTTGTGTCCTTCTGTCCTATATCCTTCTGTCCTTCTGTCCTATATCCTTCTGTCCTTCTGTCCTATATCCTTCTGTCCTTCTCTCTTTCTGTCCTTCTGTCCTCCAGTCCTTCTTCCTTATGTCCTTCTGCCCTTCTGTCCTTCTGTCCTATATCCTTCTGTCTTTCTTCCTTCTGTCCTTCTTCCTTCTGTCCTTCTGTCCTCCTGTCCTTGTGTCCTTCTGTCCTATATCCTTCTGTCCTTCTGTCCTATATCCTTCTGTCCTTCTGTCCTATATCCTTCTGTCCTTCTCTCTTTCTGTCCTTCTGTCCTATATCCTTCTGTCCTTCTCTCTTTCTGTCCTTCTGTCCTATATCCTTCTGTCCTATATCCTTCTGTCCTTCTCTCTTTCTGTCCTTCTGTCCTCCAGTCCTTCTTCCTTATGTCCTTCTCTCCTTCTGCCCTTCTGTCCTATATCCTTCTGTCTTTCTTCCTTCTGTCCTTCTTCCTTCTGTCCTTCTGTCCTCCTGTCCTTGTGTCCTTCTGTCCTTCTGTCCTCCTTTCCTTGTGTCCTTCTATCATTATGTCCTCATGTCCTTATGTCCTCCTGTCCTTCTTCCTCCTGTCCTTCTGTCCTCCTGTCCTTCTTCCTTCTCATTCTGTCCTCCTGTCTTTCTGTCCTTCTTTCCTTCTATCCTTCTGTCCTCGTGTCCTTCTATCCTTCTCTCCTTGTGTCCTCCTGTCCTTCTTCCTCCTATCCTTCTTCCTCCTGTCCTTCTGTCCTTCTTCCTCCTGTCCTTCTGTCCTTCTTCCTCCTGTCCTTGTGTCCTTCTATCCTTCTCTCCTTGTGTCCTCCTGTCCTTCTTCCTCCTGTCCTCCTGTCCTCCTGTCCTCCTGTCCTTCTGTCCTTCTGTCCTCCTGTCCTCCTGTCCTTCTGTCCTCCTGTCCTCCTGTCCTTCTGTCTCTGCCAGCACTGACTCAGTGAGCGTCTATTTTAGAGTGAGGACGATTTAAATATCAGAGCAGAGTTGTAGTGAGTGGACGATTATAAAACAGGCAGATGGACGGAAGAGGATTCTACTTGCATACAAAATGGTAGATAGCAAAACACTTCAGACGACATCGTGTAGTCAAGCATCAGCCAGATACAAAAAGAAGTGAACAAAGCTTTGACCGAAGGTATGCCTATAACTGTAACACCTGCTGACATTGCAATGTAGGCAAAGTCCCTGCACAAAAAGCACAAAGGTCACAGAAGAAAGGCTCACCAAGTAACCCTTATAATGTAATTAGGAAGTTTAACATCTGGCATTAGATGCATTGTGTATCAATAAACGTGTCTGTCTATTTGGTGACTGTGGCTGCGAGGGAGTGCGGTCGTCTTTCCTCCAGAAGGTTGATAGATAGATTCAACTTATTGTCATTACACAGTAAAGGTACCGTGTAACGAAACGGTTTCTCTGCATTCGACCCATCCTAGTGTTAGGAGCAAATTATGCTGCCATTTTGAACGGCGCCCGGGGAGCAGAGTAGGGAACGGTGCCTTGCTCAGGGACACCTCGGTAGCACTTGGTCTTTCCGGGACTTGAACTGGTGACCTTCCAGTTGCCAAGCCAAGTCCCTATGGACTTCGCCACCACCGGTTGTTGGTTTGATCCCAGCGTGCGCAGTCAACATGTGGATGTGTCCTTGGGCATGATACTGAACCCTGAGTAGCCCCGGTGTGTGTGTGTGTGTGTGTGTGTGTGTGTGTGTGTGTGTGTGTGTGTGTGTGTGTGTGTGTGTGTGTGTGTGTGTGTGTGTGTGTGTGTGTGTGTGTGTGTGTGTGTGTGTGTGTTAGCTTCCCTAGATCAAGTGGTGCTGCTCTGCATGAATGAGGTGTGAATGGGTGAATGACTCGTAGTATATAAAGCACTTCTCAGTCCCCGATAAAGCGCTGTATAACTACAATCCATTCGTCAATTAAGTTTTGTGAGCATGCAAAACATTTGACACCTTACATGTTATTCTTATTTTCTTCTACTTCCTGATTTGTTTTCCTTGCAGTGTCTAACATATTCCACTGTGGGGTCAACCTGTGACTGATGCTGGATTCAACCTCTTACAGCAGTGTTTCTCAAACTTTTTCATTCCAAGGACCACTTAACCAATAAAAAAACACTCGCAGACCATCTAACTCCACAAATATCAAAAAACACATCGTTTTTCTAGAACAGATTACAAATCGCCTGAAAATTGTACAAACAAGTGGCAACATGTGTGATGAAGGTGTTGCGCTGGGCTATATCATGCAATTGAAAGTGAAACTTAATCTCGCTCCATTGCGGAGATATTCCCGCGAGAGTGCGGAAAACTTAAATGTATTTATTTATTTCAAATGTGAAATGTTACCAATATACTCGCGGACCACTAGGGGGCGCTCACGGACCACCAGTGGTCCGCGGACCACACTTTGAGAAGCAGTAACACGACTTGATGCATATAAAAAAAGACCTTTCAAAAAGCGTTTTATCAGTGCTAACATCATGCACTGATAATGTGTTGGCAACATTTATTCATGTCATGTTATTTTTATAATGTACGCCCTGAGAAATGTAATGATCCTGGTTCGCCCATGTGACAAATGTTATTATTAAAGTGAATACAATGAAGAAATGAACCATTAATTCAAATTCTCACAAATAACATCCTGTTTTTTCTCTTCAAACCTACTGGACAGTTTAATCAGCCAGAAAACCTACTCCCATAATAACACATCTCCTCTGCATCACTGTCAGAGAGAGTGCATTCTCATACACTGCTGCTCTCTGTCGGTGTTCCTCCATGATTACAATAACATCAGAGTGACTTCAGACTCTATATAAAGACCTCAGTCTGTTTGGGAGATGTGACGCAGCACTGAACAACAACTGAGCAAGAAGTTGATATGAGGGACATTTTCTAATGTTGATGATTGAAAATAATGATTACATTCATCTTGTGGTTTTGCTGATTGATAGAAAATACCGTATATTGATAAAATGTTGTTATATGTGTTTAAACTTACATTGAAGTGTTTTATAAACCATTAAATACAAGTTTATACATTACTTGTAAATGTTAAATGAAGGGGTGACAGTAAGTTCTGCAAACGTACACACACAGATAATACCGGCACATAAAAATACACACACACACACACACACACACACACACACACACACACCACACAAATAATAAGATAACACACAATACAGACACATACACGCTCACCCACAGATGATACACACTCACTCTCTCACACACACACACACACACATACCATGTATACATCACTTCAGGGGACATTACATTGACTTACATGCATTTCCTGGAGACTTATCCTAACCTTAACAATAAACAACACATGCCTAACCCTAACCCTAATCCTTACCCTAAACCTAACCAAGTCTTCACCCTAAAATTAATGACTCCCCCTTATGGGGACCTCCATGTTGTCCCCATAAGGGAGGCGAGTCCCCACACGTGACTGTGTAAACAGATTTAGGTCCCCACACGTATAGTAATGCTAGGCCACACACACACACACACATAAATGTAGTACATACACAGACAAAAACACACATAGAAATACACACACACCACACAAATAATAAGATAATACACACAATAATACAGACACACATACACTCTCACACACACTCTCTCTCTCTCACTCTCACACACACCTAATACATACACACAGATAAACCACAAATACATGTAGTACACACACACACACACACACACACACACACACACACACACACACACACACACACACACTCACACACACCTGCTGGCCTCCTGCTGTCTGTACAGGTCCAGGATGTTCTCCACCAGCAGGTTCCTCTGCAGACCGTACACCCCGTGCCGGTCCAGCAGAACCTCCTGTCTGCAGGACGGGCAGCGGAACCGAGAGCCGATGGAGGAGGAAGAGGAGGAGGAGGATGAAGAGCGGGACTGCCAGAGGGGGTTAGACGACTGGAGGAAGAGAGAAGGATTCAAGGATTCAAAGCTTTGTTGTCATGCATAATACAATGTATGCATGTATGTACTTCATTTGATGTTCTTGTACTTCACCTGCTTATGTTAATGATAAGTTATTTTATACTTCTACTCCAATACTTTTTGGAAGCAATGCATCAGTAATCACAATCCAGTAATGTTATATTTTATTCTGAAATGGGAAGTACTTTTACTTTTGGTACTTCATGTATATTTGGACGCCAATATCTGTGTAGTTTTACTTAAGTTATATTTGAAGTGCTACACTTTTACTTTTACATGTTAGGGTCAAACTTTAAAAAAATAACAAAAATCAAATCTCCATCTTTGGTTTCTTGACATGTATTTGAAATGGTGTCGGCATTTGTTGGAATGATGGCTGGACGTGAGCAATGTAATTGATTTATTTAAAACAAGGGACAGTGTACATTAATCAACATATTAAAAACATGTGAAAGTACTCAAAGTACTTTCATCGATAGTCCCTTTGCCAGATGGTGATAGACATCCTAAAAGCAATAATGAAAATACCACGACTTTGTTATACCATATTTACAATAGATGACATCACTGAATACAGATAAGAGCAAGTCATGATAATAAATAAAACAAATGATGGAGGATCATGTCAACCTTGCACATTCTTCTGTATATGTTGCACATTTGTCTTTTAAAATGCACGGCTCTTCAACTTTAAATTAGTAAATAAACCTATTTCATCATACTTACTTTTTTTATAGTTGTATTTCTTGTACACATGTCTTAATGTCGTAGTCGTCCTTTAATTGCTTCTTTTTACAATGAAATCCCTCTTTATGCACCATTAGTCAAAAGTGTACAGACAGAGAGATCATAATACCGTTTCCCACAATCCCGAATACAAATATATATAAAAATATGTATAAAATATCTATATCCTATATATACACAATCAACAGACACATGTATACATCATTATACACATGACAAAGCCCTTGTAAATGTAAACCTACTTGGCAATAAAACTGATTCCGATTCTGAAATTAAATAAATAAATGATTCGTTAAATAACTATAAACCTGTGAAATGAGCTCCTATAAGGCGGACTCACCTGGAACATGTCGTTGGCACACTTCCTGCAGAGGTTGTGCTGGCAGGGCAGGATGACCACGGGTTTGGAGAACATCTCCAGACACACGGGGCAGATCAGCTGCTTCTCCAGGTTCTCCATGATGGTTCCACGTCCAGAACCAGGTCCAGAACCAGGTCCAGATCTGCCTTCTGATGGGGGTCTGAGGGCGAAGTTCATCCCCTCCAGGAACCAGGGCGTCAAATCCAAGAGAGTAACAAGAAGGGGAGGTGAATTTTAAGGGGATAGTTGAGATTTTAGGGGTGTTTTTTGTCGTATTTCGTTTCTGTTCTGTTCTAGATCTTTCCCCAGCTGTCCCTGTCCACCCCTATGTGAAGACCCTCCCATGCCCCCTGCCTCCGTCCCACAGCAGCCCCACTGTTGCCTGTTGGTATTTTTAGCTCCTGGGTTTGTTCTGGCTTGGGTTACTGTCTAAACTCAGGGCGTGGCGCCGGATCAGGACGAGGGTCATCTCCAGGGTTCAAATGATGAAGTCTGTATGAAGTCTGATCCCTCAGAGGGGGTCCGGGGGACATACGTAATGAAGCCTCTGGTCGCCATGTTGGAGGTCATGATCACTTCTGGATAAACACATCGCTCCATTTCTAGACTTAGCCGTCCGTTTGTCACAGTTTACGCAGAGATTTTGAGGGAAAAGTATTGGTTTTGTGTTGTTTAGCAAGGAGTGCATCTATGGTCTCAGGTTCTTAAAGTACTGTATGTTCCCAGATATCGTCTCAATATTACACATTAAAGAGAGCTCTCAAATACATTGAATTCTTAGTAATTATTATTTTTTGGCAAAAATATTCAATATGCTTGCCTGTTGTTCATACACGTGTCAGGGAGAAAATCATCTGGTATTTCAAATAAATAAATAATAAAATAAATAAAAAAGTAATTATAATACATTTAAAATATTTTATTTTTTTTTAAGTGAAAAAAAGTGTGAAAAAAACAATATATATACAATAATAATTTTTAAACAATAATGTAACGGAGTAGTCTTGCGTGTGGTGCAGTGGGATTGTGCGTGTGGTGCAGTGGCCAGGTTCAAACCCCACTGCAGTCAGCATGTCGTTGTGTCCCTGAGGGCCCTTCTCACTTCGGTTAAATGGAATCCTTGCGTCCCTCACTTGCGTCGTTTCCCTGCGTCTAGTCCCTCCCACCAGGGAAGCATGGAGAGATGCAAGGAAACCACGAGAAGCAGGGAAACGAGTTTTAAGAGCAATGGGACGTCCTTTCCTCCGGAGCGTCACGTGAAGCGACGTCCGTTTGTGATGACGCTGCACAGCTGATCGTCTGACAGCATTTGTATCATCTGTTGTAGACCCAAATACATTAAATACAATAAGAACTCATTCTCAAAAAAGATAAACGCCATTCTTTAAATGTATAAACGAAAAAAGCGATCATGAAAATGTTTCCAATAAATGAAGAAAATGATTTTTGACCACTTTGTTGTTCAGATATATCACATATTTGTAACTAAATGAAACATTAATTGAAACAAAACACGGTATAAACTGAGGAGTGACTCTCGTGAGGTTCATGTGTTTTCTTCACTCCGCTGGGAAACTCTCATGTCAAGAACATGGTCAAGAAGCATCAAATCAGTGCATGCGCTGCATCGTCCAATCAGTGAGCGATACACAGTAAGGGGGCGGGGCGAGTGTCTGAGGATTTCATCGAAGGATGGTCTGGCGCTGGTCTGGTGGTTCCTCGGTTATCGCTCCTCCATTATCGCTCCTCGCTCCTCCGTAAAAAAATAAGGCCATTGGGACGCTACTCAAGATGGCGCAGACAAATCAACTTCCGGTGAGACCGAGGAGCGAGGAAATGAAAAATAAGAGAAGTGAGAAGGGCCCTGAGACTCTTCACCCCAAGTTGCTCCTGTGGGGATTGTCCACAGTATTGAGTATGTAAGACGCTTTGGATAAAAGCGTCTAACAAGTGACATGTCATATTAAACTTGGAGATGTTTTAACCCTAATGCTAAAATAATTACACTTGTTTGTGATTTGCCTACTGGGTCTGACTTTCAAGTAATGTTTAGGTACTTGTAACCTACCTCCCTCTTTCCTTTGATTCACTACAATAGAAACAAATATAATACGTTGTACCTTTAATAACCCACTCATACGTGATGAGTGATTGATTAAGTCATAGAGCTAGAAGCAGCGGCGTGGAAAAAGATATAAATAAAGTTAGAAATTAGATCTTCATATAAAGCTGAATGGGAATCCTGAACAAACACAGCTCGTGGAAACATTTCACAAACCTTTATCTGAATCAAGCGCGCCATCTACAGGCATAACTCCTTTTCAAAGCATTAGAACACAATGTTTTTATACTGAATGTCTTTGAAGTTCAGAAATGTTGGTCTCAGTAGTTTTTTGGGGTGGATTTAGGGATTTTAATGAACTGACAAGAGGCTTTTCCTCCACAACTACAGATACAAAATAAATGCTAGATCTTTCTGGAATGCACATTTAAAAACCTGCACGACCGTTTATTTTTGTCCTGTTCTTTTCTTGTGTTGCATACATGGACTAAACACTTGCGCTCCTCTGCTGCAGAATAAGAATAAAGGATCCTCAAATAGTGGATTCATCACAAGAGTAAACCCTATGATGTGATGCAGTGTTCCTTAAAAGTAATGATCAGGAAGCAGATTTTTTACACTTACACTACGTAGCCTATGCATATTTTGAAATGTTATTTTCTTAACAAAAGTGTTGATGGTCAAGAAAGGGACTTTGAATAATGTGCATGGAGTTGCACTGGAGACTAGCAGTTTTTTTTAAATCCATTTTAATGTTTGTTTTTAAATAATACTTTTAAGTGCTGCCATGTAGGATTTATTTTTTCATGCTACTCTTTAGTTGTTTCAGAATCCATCCTAAGCAGGTTCTTAACCATATTATTTTGATCCTCAACATTAAAGTCTATTTGCCAGAGTCCTCAAGTGAACCGAGAAATGTTGAGTACCCCAAAGTTTTTTGATAGAAATGTATAGTACGGGTCCCCAGCACATAGAAACTGCCGGATGCTAACCTATATGCTTTACATTTGCAAATTTAACACAAGTTGCATATGCAGACAATAGCTAAAAATTGGCTTGGCCGATTTGGAACATTTCTGAGGGTTTTTGAGGATGTTGAATCCAGTTCTGACATTTTCAGGCTTAGAAAATTGCACTATTAACCAGAAAGTGGTCATATTTGTACTTTCGGTGGGTGGATTTGATGAAATTTGGAGCGATTTTTTAGATTTAGGGGACTCAAAACTGCTATTTTGACCCTAAAAATGTCCGAAATTGATCCTAAATAACATCCAAAACCAGACCAAAATCGTCCACGCCATTTTTGCAATTGTCTGCATGCTAATTAATGCAATTTATGCTAATTGTGCAAATTACAAATTAAAGGGTGTCGTATTGTCATACTGATATTTTGTACAAACTGTAAAGTCCACTGAGACAAATGTAACATTTGTGATATTGGGCTATATAAATAAACATTGATTGATTGATTACCCGACATATGCAAGTGCATCTGTCAGTTTCTATGTGCTGTGAACCCGTTCTATACATTCCTATCATAACACTTTGGGGTACTAACCCTACATTTCCCCCCCCCCGCCCCCCCCCCCCCCCTCTGACCCCCAACAGCTTCCTGATAGGAGAGGAGATGGCAGTGAGGTCAGCGAGCGAACAAACACAAGGTATTTTCTAATCCGGAGAATGGAGTCGGCTAAATAGACTAAACTATTAATGGGATTACACGACTATTTATAGGCTGGGAGTGGAGCGCTGCTGCAGAGGAAGCCACACATACATACAAACAAACACACAGCAGCCACACATCCTGCAGCTCTGCTCACAGCTTCTGGGTGGAAATGTAACGTAGAGGAGTTAAACAATAACTATATTGGCTTGCAAAATGTAGAAGTGTAGAAATAGAAAGCAGCATTACAGGGAAAATAATCAGTTAAAGTCCAAGGAGCTCAACATTGCATTTAGGTTACAATCTTATTGCTAAAAATCAATCAATACTAAATGCATATCATAATGAAAACATTATAAACACACACATAGTTTATTTGGACTCACTCCCACTTACACTGTGCTGCAGCTGCTCAGAATGTAGATACATCCGCCGGCCGCTGAAAATAGTCCCTATCAAATTCACTCCTGTGATTTTTCTATTTATGTTTCTTTCACCTTTTTCATTTTGCCTTATTACAACTCTAAGCCATTTCACACGGGAGTATGCTCTCCATTAATGATAGTGTTATTGTGTATACTCAAATGCTTTATGGATGTGTGTGTGTACTACATTATGTGTAGTTTATCTGTGTGTGTGTGAGAGTGAGTGTGTATCATCTGTGGATGGGAGTGTATGTGTCTGTATTGTTGTGTGTATTATCTTATTATTTGTGTGGTGTGTGTCTGTACTACATGTATGTGTGTGTGTGTGTGTGTGTGCGCATCTTATGACTATAACTGATCCGTTATACGTGAGTAACAGATGGATGTTTGTGGGATGCATTGTTGTGATTGATGGATACAAACAAATTGTGTTTGTGCTACATTACTGTAGTTACTTCCTGTTATATGGTGCATGGAGAATTATAATTGTCAAGCCCATGGAGGGTTTTAGGACAATTCTCCTTTACATTTTATATATTGTATCTCATCAAAAGTGTAAATAAGAAAAACAAAACAAAGAAAAACACAATTTTGTTTCGCTGTATACCTAAAACCGCCAACGGGTAAAATGTACCCGCTATTGATTTTCAAGGTACAATGTTATTTTATTGATCATACAGAACAGTGAGTTTTGATCGCACAGGGATGACATTTATACCAATATAATCTGTGGACTCTCAGCTTTTCATATGACAGTTTGTGCAGATAACATGAAGTATAAAATATCGCTAAGAGTGCTGATTTAAACGCTTGGTGTTAGACTTGTGTTTTGTTTAGGTACAAATCTCTCTGTAGATGTACCCGTTGGCGGTTCTAGTGCTTTCGCTGTTTGTTAAAAAAGTTCAATGGTTGAGCATTTCAGGAAGTTAGTGACACTGTTAAAACAAATGTAACGATGTGGTGACCACCTATTTAACCACTGGGACATAATTCAAACTTGGAACTACAGTTGCGGTTATTGTTCCCACACGGACATGTTATGGGTTACCTATAAATAGTGTGTGCCCTCTTGGCTCTCTCTCTTGTCGACCCGGGCTGCGACCCGACAACATGTCCTTTGCAGCTTGTGAATAAATGACTAATCTTGCACCTTCCTTGCACCGCCTCTGACTCCATATCTCTCGGCACTACAACTACATATTTGCCTCCAAACGGACAAACATATTGCAGCTTTTGGTCTTTTCATTGACATTTCCGACCATAAAACATCAAAGTTTTCCTTCAATCTTTAAAAGTGAATGCAGTAAAACATGATTATGCTCATCCAGCGGCATCAAACATGTTGCAAATTGTTCCAATAAAACACAAACACAGAGACAGGAAGTTATCAAATCCCCCTTTTTTTATTTGGTTGAATTTCACAACTCATTTACAGATCGTCCACAGGGAACCACGACGATGACTGAAATACTAACTAAAATAGTCTTTGTCATGTTGCTCTATACTCAATTTCATCCAGTAATGAGAACACAGGTCCTCAAAATCATCCACCTGCCCATGGAAGAGCGTTAGCTTCATGCTAACCGTCAATAGCATGGTGTTGCTATCGGGTTAGCACGAAGAATTTAAGCCAGTATTTTAAAGTCGACACACAAATTACTTTAGAGACTGTGATCATCATTTAACACCAACGTTGAGCAACATGTCGAAAGCGCCCATCATAGTCAATTTTTTTAGTAATATTACATTTAAATAAGGTATTTCTACAACGGCGTATTAGGGCCATTGTAAGTTAAGAATAATAGTTACTGAGCCGAGGAAGGGGGTAATATGATGAGAATTATTTACATTAAAGGTGGGGTACGTAATACACTTCAGAATCACTTGTTCTATTCCACGGAATGCTCTTAACATCCCGATAGCAATGAATACATTAAATGCTTTGACAATAAATACATTTAAAAAAATGTCATCTATGGAAGCCGTAGTACTGTAAAAAGCACGACCAATCATCTGAGCCGGCTAAAGTAACTGGATGGCCTACCTGCCTGTCAGCCTTCCATCTGTGCACACATTTATCTCGTGCCCTCATTGGTCATGTGCGCGTTCGTGTGTGTTGGAGGAGGGGCTCTGTGAGGAAGGGGCAGATTTTTTTCAAATTCTAGCGCACTCCAGCTGGTTTCTCCAAAATTACCTACCCCACCTTTAAATAAAGTATTTCTGATTCTGATATTCTCTCAGATTAAAAACTCACAAGATTAGAAGTACAGTTTGATTAAAACGATAACATTTGCACATTTCCGCGATTTCTTTGTGGAAAAGTATAAGCACCTGACTTTCACTCAGTTTTGACTTAATATGTTGCCCCTCTGCTCCAGCACTGCATTTCTTTTTTTACCCACAATGGCCTTAATACGCCGTTGTATATTCCTATGTTACACGTAAAAATGAAAAATGTATGTACACTGTTAAAACAGACAACAATTCATCAAACAAGTCCATTAACGACGAGGAATATTGTCACTTGTTTTGCCGTCCTAGGAGTTATTTACAACAATTACAAAAATAATAAATAATATGTCTTCTTGCATTCCTCCGTGAACTCAAAGCTTTTACAGCTCAAGTGATTTGACAAGATTTGAAGAAAGACAGAAAAATAATTATTCCTGAAATGTTACGGGATGCTTAGAGTTATAATACTTAAAGTTTTAGACGTTAGAAAACTGAAATAATTACCTTACAGTCTGCGGACAGTTCCTCTGAAGCTGATATGTAATCCTTCAAAGTCAAATCCAAAATTAAGAGAGATGGAGGTATTTCTTTTTTATAGCTGGTTTATGATCAGTTTGTTATTCTCAGATTGGAGTGATGAGCTTGTTTGTTGGTCCTTTACGTAGGTCTACTTTACCTCATTGCAATTCACCAGGCAATAATATTAATAATAAGAATTTCAAGCAGCTGAGAGATGACTTTAGCTTAAACTACACAGGTTAAAAGTAAAGGAACGCCTTTTAAATGTCACCCTGCCACATGAAAAGGACAATATTCGTTATAAAAATGTAAAATAACTCGCCTACAATTAACACTACTCGGCACTATACAATAATTTCCAGCAGCACATGGAGCGATTCACACAAAGATAACAGTCTTTAAAAGGTTTGCATTGGCCATTTTTCAAACATTTGATGACATTGTACAGACAAATAAAGAAAAGAAAAGGTTAGCTAGAGCACTTACAGAGTAGGGCTGCTCGATTATGGCAAAAATCATAATAAGGGTCAATAATTGAAATCACGATTATTAAAAAACGATTTACTTTGAAAGGAGCCAGTTGAGGTGGTTCGGGCACCTAGTTAGGATGCCACCTGGGTGCCTCCCTAGGGAGGTGTTCCAGGCACGTCCAGCTGGGAAGAGACCAAGGGGTAGACCTAGGACCAGGTGGAGGGATTATATCTCTTCGCTGGCCTGGGAGCGCCTTGGGATCCCCCAGTCAGAGCTGGTTGATGTCGCCAGGGAAAAGAAAGTTTGGGGCTCTCTGCTGGAACTGCTACCCCCGCGACCCGACCACGGATAAGCGGGAGAAGATGGATGGATGGATTTACTTTGAAAACATACATTTATTGAAAAGAAAAATGTGAACAGTATGTTTTTAACAGTTGATTACCCTGAACTTTAAATATAATTCAACTGAAAAACCAATAAAAATAAATAATCGTTCTATTTAGATTATGTTGTTTTCATAATCGTTGCAAGCCAAAATCATAATTGCGATTAAAATACGATTAATTGAGCAGCCCTAACAGAGGATACGGCTTTTTTAAAAGTACCTGTGAGTGATGTGCAAATGCTTTTTAATTAGTAGACCAGGATCCAAAGGGAATATGCGAAAGACCAGAGATTTACATTTTGAGAGGTGTACGAAGTGAGCAGAAATGTGTGTTTTTGAGTCAGATCACCAACATCTCACAGATCCAGATTCACTAAAGGTTTGTAACAGAAAGGAAACAACCAACACTAGAAATGGAAAGCTAGGGTTACCTGTATATAAATGTGATTATGTTACGCTCTATTTACAGCGAATAGACACCAAAATGACATCAAAAATGTTCTGCTCAGTCACTGCTGTTTATAGTTCAAGGCGCATCACTGTCAATTAGACAGGAAGCCGGGGGGGAGATTTATGCAGAACTTACAGAGGACTTATTCTAAAGCTCCTTACACACCAAACTGACACCAAAGAACACGTCCCGACAGAACGTCGCCTCACGTCTCCTGCGTCTTGGCCATGTGTCGCACTGGAACACACCGCAAAGACTTCAGCCGACGGCCAAGAAGCACGCACGAACTGCGCATGCCTGAGTGGCAATAACTCTCCTTACCAGCAGGCGGCGGTAGTGTGTATTCGTCATTCAAAAGAGGCAACAACCGGAAGACAGACTGCGTGATAACCGAGAGAAGAAGAACAGACTGCGTGATATAAACAAACAACAAATAGCGTGCGTTCCATTTTCCCTCTACAGCGAGAAGCTCACGGGGCTTTCCCGAACCTGTGTCGAGAGCTGGAGTTCAATGAAATAAGATAAGATAGAGCGTTATTGTCTCCCTTAGGAGAGATTTGTCTTGGGCATCGAGATAATACACATAAAACATTCAGGTCAATCAGTCATAGATACAGAACAGAGATCTCAGATTTGCCTTCTTAATAGTTTGTTTGGGTCCCTCACTTCCGTTTCGCTTCTCATGCTCTGATTCGCTAGCTGAACAGCCAATCGGAGTGATTTCTTAGGCCGACGGCCTCCCGATTCAACATGTCGAATCGGCGGCGGCACGGCCGAAAAGACACAACGGTGCGGTACACACCAATCTGAGTAGGGCGACATGACGCTCATCGACGGCCAGACATCTTTCGACGCCGAAAATGGGCTCGGTGTGTAAGGACCTTAAGATGTCCCGCCCCTTAGCCTATTACGTACAATGTGTTGGAGTAAACAAAGGAGTCCAATGGAGGCGTTTCTGCCTTCATTTGAGCCTTTGCAGACCATTGACATGCACAGAAACTGATATAAAGCATTACATGGAATCTTAATGGAAGAATCCTCCATCCAATTTCAATCACAAATGATTCTATAAATACAAATTGAACGAAAACTAAAAATACTATTAATAAGTAACTGAGTTTTCATAAAATTAGATATGATTCCCCTTGAAATGCAGTCTAAGTGAATCTGGACCTGGAGTATAGATAGTTAGTGGATGTTTTACGTGTTGCTCTGGTAATAAGAGGTTACAAATTAAAAGATTAAACACCCTGAACCGAGTTTAAAAGATTAAAAGAAACCCAAGTGTATTGTTAACAGACCCGCTTTGCAAGGTGCATAGACCCCAAATGCATAATGTGCAAACAACTTTGACAAACTGAACTGTGGCTTACAGAGGAAATGGCGTTTCCAGAGATTATTATGGGATGGCTGACTACATGGAGCGTCTATAACATATAGTCTGACTGCAAGGAGCGCAACGACCTAACAACACATGACTAAGTAATAAAATGTTTTCTGTTATTGTCCATTTAGTCCGTAGATTATCTCGGGGTTGTTTTTTTTTTTTACCCAAGGATGGCACACGATGACATACGGGCTGGTACGAGTGTGTGTGTGTGTGGGTTTTGTCTGTGTATGTACTAAATGTACGTGTGGTTTATCTGTGTGTAATAGGTGTGTGAGAGTGTGTATCATCTGTGGGTGAGAGCATGTGTGTCTGTATCTGTGTGTGTATTATCTTATTATTGGTGTGGTGTGTGTCAATGTGTGTTTTTGTCTGTACTACATTTATGTGTGGTTTATCTGTGCGTGTGTGTGTGTCTGTGTGCACATGTGTGTGTGAGTAACCAGCGTCTGCATGTAGATAGTTCTTCATTGTTGTGGGATGGATTGTAGACTGTAGTATTCCAGTGCTGTACAGAATGGGTTGGCATGCATTCGGGGGAAAAGATGCATGCATGTTGGGGAGGAAAGACTCGACTCCCGATCCATGCTGCAAAGCTCCAACTCCAGGTTTTGGCTCAGACATTAAAACATCAAAATCTTAATCCAGCAGTAAGTCAGGCAGTCTCTGCTGCTGCGTCACATGTCTTCTGTCCCCCCCCACCTCCTCAGTTTCCTACGTTCATGAGAAATGTAGACGCCTCCAGATTCAAAATGTTTTCTTCAAAAAGGATATTCTGAACCAACGCACTTGGCATCTCAAGAGCTTGTTTGAAAGGTGTTAATGCAACAATTAACTGAATGCAATTGTTCGACTTAAGGAAGATGGAGAGGAAATAAAAAGGAAATCCTCCACACCCACGTCGTCGTGCTGCTGGCTTCTGATGTAAACGTCACAAATAGCATCCAATTCCACATCCCCAAAAACTCTGCTAGTTTTTCTTTTTTGGAGGAAAACTCCAAGACAAGTTAAAGGGGACGAAATGTAAAAAGGAAAGGCTCCAAACGTCCGAAATGGAGGGTGACGTAGGAGACGTTTAAATCAGTCCCGATGTTGAGAGCGGATAAATGATGAGGATCCTCTTTCCTTGATGTTTCTAGCCCTCTGTCGGTGCCATCTTTAAGCCCAGTGTCACATCCTTAGTGGTTGTAATGGGAGGTTAAGAACGGATTAGTACCAGGAATGTTTGCCAAGCCGAGCCCAGGATGATTCAAAATGTTGGCGAAAAAATCACATCTGAGCCAGGTGAGAGGCTGGAAGTGGAAACGGGACTTAAGAGATTTTCAGAGCACATGCAGAAGTTTAATTTGCACGGATACTCCTCCATAACTTGAGTTCTATGGAGGGGGCCGAGAGGCTTTAAGTGCCCACCTTACGGGTGTTGTCTGGTGGGTGGATCAGGCTGGTGGAGAGGTCAGGATGGAGGTGAGGGTCTGGATGGTGGATCGGATGTGGATCATAGGCGGGGGGTCCAAAGGCTAAAAAAGGGAGAAAATCCAGGGGTCAGTCTGAAAGTCAAACAGCAACTGTATAAAGGAATTTGCATGTATTTTTTTATAATTGTATTTTATTATCTTTGCTTTTTAATGACTGTTTTTAAATCAGAATCCCTTTATTCGTCCCACAGAGGAGACATTTACATTTGTTACAGTAGAAAAGAGCCAAAGACAGCTTTATGTTAACCAAGAAGCATGCATACAAAAAATATTAAAGATTAAAAAAATACACAATGTACAAAATACACATCCTGTAACAATTCTGAGGATTTAGCAGCCAGGTATATATAGAGAGGCGAAGTCCCGCCCATCTACCTCCGACCCATGGGACCTTATTTCGGAAAAATTATGCATTGAAGTCAATGGAGAGAGAAAGATTATCTTTCGATCCCGTTTGAATTGTGCCATGAATTACACATATGATGTTCGTCAATCATACAAAATAATTTCCATGTCAAAAAAGTCACAGTTTGTCGTAAAACTGTTGAAATATAAGACTTTGAAAAATACGCAACTAGAAAGACTACAAATCCCAGAGTCCCGGTCCCGCATACTGGCTCTCTTGGAACCGACTAACTCCCCTTGTGTGTGTGTACAGCTCTCAACGCGCCCAGACTTGGAGTGATTTTCACCTCTTTTAATACTTTCCGCCTCGTTCTGAAAGAAAGAAGTGAAATGTTTCAACGTGACGGCCGTCTTGGTGTGTGGTGTGAGATGGGAGATGTAGTTCATTGAGCGGTTTCACACAAAAAAGTGTTACTTCAAAGTTTTACGACATATTTTTATTTATTCGACTTGCAAAATTATCTTTTAAATTGACAAACATCATATCTGTAATTCGTGGCACAATTCAAACGGGATCGAAAGATAATCTTCCTCTCTCCATTGACTTCAATACATACAGTTATTAACGACATATATATATTGCTCATATTGCACATAGTTAAATGCCATTTTCTTAATGTTTGTGCTATAAACTAACCTTGACACAAAAAAGTGTTTTCTTTGATATACTTGTCTGATGCTCTCCATGCATATAAACAAAAAAGCATTCTCAATATGTTACCGACCTGCTTCCGCTAGTTGCGGCTCTTCAGCACGGTCACTTTCCTGAGGGAGGAAAGCAAAGAACATTACCTTACAATATCTCATCATACAGTTATAACGTAAAACGGTGAAAACTTGACAATTTCTAATAAAAACAGATACGGTTTTAATCTGTGAATTAGCCCAAACACTCACACTCCACAATATGTATTAATCATATTGTAATATTAAGTATCTATGTATATATTATATTCATTTTTTCTGTGTGAATGTCATGTAATTTTACTTAATTTAAAATGTTGTCGAATAACAAATATTGCTGCATTTCTTGAATAAAATCTGCATTAATGCATAAAACCAAATGACCGTATCTTAGACTCAAACAGAAGTAGTTGGTACAAGATGCTGCACTCAACACATCAAAGTACAGCCAATTATTCTGCCATGCTTATTGTCTGGCAGCAGTTCATGCAAGCAGCACAATGACTTCATGTTGACGACAAGCACATGGAGACAACATGCATGTACGAGACGACTTGAGGAGTACAACAGTTCAGAGTTAATGGGACAATGAGGGCGGTGTTGTTATGGATGAGTGAAGCAGCAGCGATGATGAGCCACGAACATCGAGACAGACGAGCAAAACAAAACGGATGAAGACGACGTGACACTTAAAGGTCCCCTATTATACTGTGTTACATCAGTATATCACAGGTCTCAGATATATACAGAACATGTCTCTGATTGGCTGAAACAGCAAACAGATCATTGCAGCATTACCCATAATCCCCTCTGTTTCAGCCCTGTTTCCAAAGTGCTGATTCTCTGTCTGTTACTTTAGATGAAAATAAGGAGCCCCTCCCCACGCCCCTCTGAGAGACATTTGGTTACAAAGAACTCAATGGTGCTCTCGGAGGGGATTCAGGTGATAAGGGGGGGGGGGGGGGTTACCTTGTTGGTGATTGGCTAATGGTTACACAAGACAACACATCGTTATGACATCATAAAGTGGCCAAAATCTGGTCAGCTCATTTTCAGACAGGTTTTTATAGAAATGGATCAAAAAGAGAGAGAATCTTTGTTCCTGAAACTTTCAGAGTCTCTTTCCACAGAGGGGACACATGTTGATGTAGAAGAGACATGAAGAAGAGGGGACACATGTTGATGTAGAAGAGACATGAAGAAGAGGGGACACATGTTGATGTAGAAGAGACATGAGGAAGAGGGGACACATGTTGATGTAGAAGAGACATGAAGAAGAGGGGACACATGTTGATGTAGAAGAGACATGAAGAAGAGGGGACACATGTTGATGTAGAAGAGACATGAAGAAGAGGGGACACATGTTGATGTAGAAGAGACATGAAGAAGAGGGGACACATGTTGATGTAGAAGAGACATGAAGAAGAGGGGACACATGTTGATGAAGAAGAGACATGGAGAAGAGGGGACACATGTTGATGTAGAAGAGACATGGAGAAGAGGGGACACATGTTGATGTAGAAGAGACATGGAGAAGAGGGGACACATGTTGATGTAGAAGAGACATGAAGAAGAGGGGACACATGTTGATGTAGAAGAGACATGAAGAAGAGGGGACACATGTTGATGTAGAAGAGACATGAAGAAGAGGGGACACATGTTGATGCAGAAGAGACATGAAGAAGAGGGGACACATGTTGATGCAGAAGAGACATGAAGAAGAGGGGACACATGCTGATGTAGAAGAGACATGGAGAAGAGGGGACACATGCTGATGTAGAAGAGACATGAGGAAGTGGATTTTGCATAATAGGTGACCTTTAAATTAGACGAGGCGGCTCTTACGAGTCATTTGGACTCTGGGAGGGTCTCTCCGGGGTTTTCCTCCCCCGCTGCACTGGGTGAGGTTTGGGACTCGGGGGGAGGCATGGGCATCGGCAGAGGGATGGGCTGACTCTGGCCCTCTGCACTTTCTGGATCCAGGTTCGATTTAGGCTGGCTTATGATTACTGTGTAACCTGTTTGGGAGGGGAGCATGAAAACACGAATCCTGCAGCGTGAGAGCAAGTTGAAAATCACTGGAGGATTTGTAAACATACCGGTCTGTACCGACTACCCAGGGAAAGGACAGATAGTTAAATGAATGTCTGTATTTATGTATCATTCGCCAAGACTTAGAAGGAAAGGGGTAATGTATGTATGTGTGTGTGTGTGTGTGGCCTAGCATTACTATACTTGTGGGGACCTACATCTGTTTACACAGTCACGTGTGGGGACTCGCCTCCCTTATGGGGACAAATTGGAGGTCCCCATGAGGAGAGTCATTAATTTAGGGTGAAAACTTGGTTAGGTTTAGGCATGTGTTGGTTATGGTTAAGGTTAGGATAAGTCTCCAGGAAATGCATGTAAGTCAATGTAATGTCCCCTGAAGTGATGTATACATGTATGTGTGTGTGTGAGAGCGATAACGTGTAGATTTGAGTGGACTGTAAACTGAGGCGGGTGTCATTTCTATGTACATCCACATGTATGTTATATATTTGTGGAATTAAAAAAAAGTTATACAAAAAAATAAATCACTGGTGGAGTTATAGACATCTTTAAAGGTTGGTTGTCGTTTAACTTCTCTAGACTGATGTTCCCACAGACGCTGTTTCAACATGATTAGACATGAAGAAAGTCAAGTAACTGAGGGTTTAAAGCAAAGTCATGTGACCAAAAATAAGCACCTTTACTGTATTCACCGTCTAATCTCCGACCAAGAGAACAATTTGAACAGCTTTTTTTTAATGAAACAGTAAGGAGAAGAGGGACGAGTAGAACAAAAGTTGCAACATGACATTTATTTGACTCATTTCGATGCTAGTCCTTCATTATGCAAATTTGTTTGACAATGAAAAGCCATGTTTAATAGTGAGTGGCTGTAACTCTGCATCAAATCCCATTTCTATTTTGCACTTCACCGCAAAGCTAAAGGCGGCTAATATACGGCTTGACGACATTTAGCAGTTTCATTTTGATACTTGTTAGCAAGCCCCGTCTTTTAAGACACATAGTAGCTTCAGACATTCACCAGTGGAGCATTTACTGACCTATTTAATGTCGTAGAACAAGACGTACATATCCTTTTAGCTTGTCTTAACCTCCGACCTTATGTCAGGCATTTAACCTGGACGCATTGACTTTGATGTGAGGGAACAGGAAGTGCTGAAATGCTAATTCTGCACATCTCTCTAGTGTGACAGTTTTCCTAAGTATCAGGGTCACGTGACGACCTCTCACCTCCGTCCTGCTCCGCCTTGATCTGAGCCTCCAGGTCTTCGGGGTTGACGTACTGGTAGCTTTCTTCGTCGTCGGGCGGTTTACATTTCCCGCAGCAGAAACAGCAGCAGCAGCAACAGCAGCAGCAGGAGAACATCGTGCAGCACATAACCATACCCTGCAGGAGGGGACATTTAAAAGCATGTGTTTATTCGTTATATTATATATATATTATATTTTACGCCTTTTTGTATAATTAAAATGTGTTAACAGGATGAGTGAGGGTAACACGACATTACATTCAAGATTTCATGACACCAAGAAATAAATTGGCTACAAAATGTGACTTAAATGAGATAATACCAATTAATACTTCATCCCCCACTCACTTTGGAAAAGGCAGACGATTGGTGAAAACTGAATTTGCATGTTTTTGAGAGCCAATTTTGTTTATTTTATTTTATAACAATACCAACAGGCATGAATGAGGGAGTCATACGCCTATTTATGTTCATGCATTGAGTGTTTTTCACATTGGAAAAATAACTTCAACAAAAAATGTAATGAAAAGAAATACAATAAAAAAAACATTTTAAATTAAAAACAATTTTAAAATTAGAAAGTCTGCCATATGATAAAACAGTAGGGTGTCAGAAGACTGTCGATAAATCCAAATGACCGTATTAACGTTGAGTAAACCTAAATTATGTACGGCATATTAATGACTCAGAGCTTTGTGGGGAAAAGAAGGTATTTAATAATCTTAATAAATAACTGTTTGATCAGTCTTTCACACAGGGTAAAATAAAAGATAAAAGGAAGGATTTTGAAATATATTAATTACATTCTGAATTTTTTTTAAACTAATCTTGCAGAGCCAATATAAAGTAAGGATTAACCTTTCAAGCCCGTTAACCAACGTTACTTGTTGTCACCTATATGCATTGAGTAGTAGTTTTAAAGGTCCCCTATTATACTGTTCTTCATCAATATATTATAGGTCTCAGATATATACAGAGCCTGTCTCTGATTGGCTGAAACAGCAAACAGATCATTGCAGCATTACCCATAATCCCCTCTGTTTCAGCCCTGTTTCCAAAGTGCTGATTCTCTGTCTGTTACTTTAGATGAAAATAAGGAGCCCCTCCCCACGCCCCTCTGAGAGACATTTGGTTACAAAGAACTCAATGGGGCTCTAGGAGGAGATTCAGGTGATAAGGGGGGGGGGGTTACCTTGGTTGCTGATTGGCTAATGGTCACATCGTTATGACATCACAAAGTGGCCAAAATCTGATCAGCTCATTTTCAGACAGGTTTTTATAGAAATGGATCAAAAAGAGAGAGAATCTTTGTTCCTGAAACTTTCAGAGTGTCTTTCCACAGAGGGGACACATAATAGGGGACCTTTAAACATCCTAATAGATTGTGAACGCACCTTGAACCACCATTTGGACATGAGGAAGTAATATTTGACGCTCTCCTCTCCGAACTGCTCGGACACGTACAGGCCCATGGAGCCGTACTCGTTGTAGATCTTCCTCTTCGTCTCATCGTTCAGGATCGAGTTGGCGTTGTTGATCTCCTTAAACTTCTCCGCTGCGTCCGGGTTGTCGGGGTTTTTATCCGGGTGGTACTTCAGAGCTAGTTTCCTGATGTGGGAGAAGAAGAAGAAGAGTGGAAAGAGAATGAAATAATGAGACGTGAAGAGAAGGAACATCTGGAACTTTTAAGGATATTTTCATCTTCAATTTGTGATTGGATAGTAAATAGTTAACTGTTTACAAAAGCCAGTTTTACTGTATATAGATATATAGAGACAGACAGAGAGACAGAGAGACAGACAGACAGACAGACAGACAGACAGACAGACAGACAGACAGACAGACAGACAGACAGACAGACAGACAGAGAGACAGACAGAGAGAGAGAGACAGACAGAGAGAGAGACAGACAGACAGAGAGACAGACAGACAGACAGACAGACAGACAGACAGACAGAGAGACAGAGAGACAGACAGAGAGACAGACAGAGAGAGAGACAGACAGACAGACAGACAGACAGACAGAGAGAGAGAGACAGACAGAGAGACAGACAGACAGACAGACAGACAGACAGACAGACAGACAGACAGACAGAGAGAGAGAGACAGACAGAGAGAGAGACAGACAGACAGACAGACAGACAGACAGACAGACAGACAAGACAGACAGACAGACAGGACAGACAGACAGACAGACAGACAGACAGACAGACAGAACAGAAGACAGAGACAGAGAGAGAGAGAGAGAGAGAGAGAGACAGAGAGAGAGACAGACAGACAGACAGACAGACAGACAGAGAGAGAGAGACAGACAGAGAGAGAGACAGAGAGAGAGACAGACAGACAGACAGACAGACAGACAGAGAGAGAGAGACAGACAGAGAGAGAGACAGACAGACAGACAGACAGACAGACAGACAGACAGACAGACAGACAGACAGACAGACAGACAGACAGACAGACAGAAACAGACAGACAGAGAGAGACAGACAGAGAGAGAGACAGACAGACAGACAGACAGACAGAAGGTTATATGGACAACGAGTCGACATAATACAAAATGTGAAAGTTAGAATATTAAACTGAATTGATGATTGATATCGGGAATTTTCCAAAACATTTGGGAACAGGATTACTGTAGATGTACAGATTTAGTAAATAAAGACAGCATATAGTAAAATAAAGAATTACAATGTGGTCAGCCTGTGTTCTCTGGAGATACAAATACCTTCTGAGGAGACATTTGAATTATAGTACTAATTCACATTTAACTTTATTGTAATATTATATTTGAACTGAACTATGTATTATTTTATTGAGCTGTACTCAAACCACGTTTTCTAATGGTTTGTGTGATAGAGATGATGCAATGTTTTTAGTGTACCTGCCTAAGGACTCGGATGGAAATGAGCTATTAGCTCAAATCTGGCATAATTCATCTCTTCTCTTTCCTGAGATGAATGTATTTGTCATGGTGGATGGTCCTTGTTGAAATAAATACATAATAATAAGATTTCTGTGTGATCAGACGGTTACCTGTATGCTTTCTTTATGTCTTCAGCTGTGGCTCCTTTCTCCAGCCCGAGCACTTTGTATACACTCTCCCCAGCGGTGGACATCTTCCTCTGGGGGCGGGGGGCAGTCGGTTCAGCCATGGCTCACCTCTAAGATCACATAAAAGAATATACAGTCAAGTTATGAAATGTTGCGGAAGGATTAGAGACATGTTGCACAGCTTAACAGCCATCCCAAAACACTTAGTCAGAGATGGCAAAAGTACACACTTCCTTTACTCAAGTAGAAGTTCAGATACTCATGTTTAAAAAAGTAGAAGTACTGACTAAACTTCTTTACTCAAGTCAAAGTAAAGAGGCTTTGAAATGTGCTTCAGTAAAAAGTACCCATAACTAGCAGCTGTTTTAAAGAGTACCTGACCTCCCTTTATATGAATAGAACAATAATGTCATTGTTAGCTAATGAATGTTTCCATGCTGAACAACGGCAACATGACAACGTTTCCATTGGTCCCTCTTCTTTAGAGAAGACCAGGAAATGATGGATACACGGATCGTGTTCAAATCAATAGGCACGCAATGACTCTAAAGAATAATGATCACGCATCAAACACACATTCAGACTAAAGGAACCAGCTGTTTGGAAAATGAGAGAAGTAGAAAGTACAGGTATTTGAGTTCAACATGTAAGAAGTAGAAAGTACAAGTATTTGAGTTCAACATGTAAGAAGTAGAAAGTACAAGTATTTGAGTTCAACATGTAAGAAGTAGAAAGTACAGGTATTTGAGTTCAACATGTAAGAAGTAGAAAGTACAGGTATTTGTGTTCAACATATAAGAAGTAGAAAGTACAGGTATTTGAGTTCAACATGTAAGAAGTAGAAAGTACAAGTATTTGAGTTCAACATGTAAGAAGTAGAAAGTACAGGTATTTGAGTTCAACATGTAAGAAGTAGAAAGTACAGGTATTTGTGTTCAACATGTAAGAAGTAGAAAGTACAGGTATTTGTGTTCAACATGTAAGAAGAAGAAAGTACAGGTATTTGAGTTCAACATGTAAGAAGTAGAAAGTACAGGTATTTGAGTTCAACATGTGAGAAGTAGAAAGTACAGGTATTTGAGTTCAACATGTGAGAAGTAGAAAGTACAGGTATTTGAGTTCAACATGTGAGAAGTAGAAAGTACAAGTATTTGAGTTCAACATGTGAGAAGTAGAAAGTACAGGTATTTGAGTTCAACATGTAAGAAGTAGAAAGTACAGGTATTTGAGTTCAACATGTGAGAAGTAGAAAGTACAGGTATTTGAGTTCAACATGTGAGAAGTAGAAAGTACAGGTATTTGAGTTCAACATGTAAGAAGTAGAAAGTACAGGTATTTGGGTTCAACATGTAAGAAGTAGAAAGTACAGGTATTTGAGTTCAACATGTAAGAAGTAGAAAGTACAGGTATTTGGGTTTCAACATGTAAGAAGTAGAAAGTACAGGTATTTGGGTTCAACATGTAAGAAGTAGAAAGTACAGGTATTTGGGTTCAACATGTAAGAAGTAGAAAGTACAGGTATTTGAGTTCAACATGTAAGAAGTAGAAAGTACGGGTATTTGGGTTCAACATGTAAGAAGTAGAAAGTACAGGTATTTGAGTTCAACATGTAAGAAGTAGAAAGTACAGGTATTTGAGTTCAACATGTGAGAAGTAGAAAGTACAGGTATTTGAGTTCAACATGAGAGAAGTAGAAAGTACAGGTATTTGAGTTCAACATGTAAGAAGTAGAAAGTACAGGTATTTGGGTTCAACATGTAAGAAGTAGAAAGTACAGGTATTTGAGTTCAACATGTAAGAAGTAGAAAGTACGGGTATTTGGGTTCAACATGTGAGAAGTAGAAAGTACAGGTATTTGTGTTCAACATGTAAGAAGTAGAAAGTTCAGGTATTTGGGTTCAACATGTAAGAAGTAGAAAGTACAGGTATTTGAGTTCAACATGTGAGAAGTAGAAAGTACAGGTATTTGAGTTCAACATGTAAGAAGTAGAAAGTTCAGGTATTTGGGTTCAACATGTGAGAAGTAGAAAGTACAGGTATTTGTGTTCAACATGTAAGAAGTAGAAAGTTCAGGTATTTGGGTTCAACATGTAAGAAGTAGAAAGTACAGGTATTTGAGTTCAACATGTAGAAGTAGAAAGTACAGGTATTTGGGTTCAACATGTAAGAAGTAGAAAGTACAGGTATTTGTGTTCAACATGTAAGAAGTAGAAAGTACAGGTATTTGAGTTCAATATGTAAGAAGTAGAAAGTACAGGTATTTGGGTTCAACATGTAAGAAGTAGAAAGTACAGGTATTTGTGTTCAACATGTAAGAAGTAGAAAGTTCAGGTATTTGTGTTCAACATGTGAGAAGTAGAAAGTACAGGTATTTGAGTTCAACATGTAAGAAGTAGAAAGTACAGGTATTTGGGTTCAACATGTAAGAAGTAGAAAGTACAGGTATTTGAGTTCAACATGTAAGAAGTAGAAAGTTCAGGTATTTGTGTTCAACATGTGAGAAGTAGAAAGTACCGGTATTTGTGTTCAACATGTAAGAAGTAGAAAGTACGGGTATTTGGGTTCAACATGTAAGAAGTAGAAAGTTCAGGTATTTGTGTTCAACATGTAAGAAGTAGAAAGTACAGGTATTTGGGTTCAACATGTAAGAAGTAGAAAGTACAGGTATTTGTGTTCAACATGTAAGAAGTAGAAAGTACAGGTATTTGGGTTCAACATGTAAGAAGTAGAAAGTACAGGTATTTGAGTTCAACATGTAAGAAGTAGAAAGTACAGGTATTTGTGTTCAACATGTAAGAAGTAGAAAGTACAGGTATTTGAGATCAACATGTAAGAAGTAGAAAGTACAGGTATTTGAGTTCAACATGTAAGAAGTAGAAAGTACAGGTATTTGAGTTCAACATGTAAGAAGTAGAAAGTACAGGTATTTGTGTTTAACATGTAAGAAGTAGAAAGTACAGGTATTTGAGTTCAACATGTAAGAAGTAGAAAGTTCAGGTATTTGAGTTCAACATGTAAGAAGTAGAAAGTACAGGTATTTGTGTTCACATGTAAGAAGTAGAAAGTACAGGTATTTGTGTTCAACATGTAAGAAGTAGAAAGTACAGGTATTTGTGTTCAATATTTAAGAAGTAGAAAGTACAGGTATTTGTGTTCAACATGTGAGAAGTAGAAAGTACAGGTATTTGGTTTCAAAATGTAAGAAGTCAAAGTAAAAAGTCGTCAGAAAAGTAAGTAGTGGAGTCAACTTCCTGTCTCTGTTGTTTATTAAAGTAGCAGCTCAGCTTGTGTGTGATGTGCACAGCTGGAGGGCGAAAGATGGACCTCATGATTTTGGGCGAGAATGCATCCAGATTAAAAAAGACATCAACCATCATTTGGTCAAAATAAAGATGAATTATTTGGGAATTCTGCAAAAGCAATCCAACATGACACAACGGAACAACAAATACTGACATGAGACACAATCTGTTGATCTAAAACAGTAAATAATAGGGATGCTCCGATCGATCGGTTACCGATCGATATCGGCCCATACTCACTCTCTACCGATCGATCGGTGCTCTCTAAACATGCCGATCGCGAAAGCCGATCGCATGACGTAAAATACATGACACTTTTCTCTGTGTGCGGCAAAACATGCTCGCCAAAATGGCTTCTCCGGTCTGGCATTATTTTAAGGTGTCCGAAAAAGACAGTAAAATAGCGGTATGCAACGTGTGTGAAGCAGAAATCCTGCAGCTCCGCCCGCCGGACCGGTAAGCGCAGCGAAACACACACACAGGGAGAACCAGACCGCAGTTCATTTCCTCATATTCCAAACGAGAAATTACGGTAGCAAATCACCCGGTTCTTTACGACCAGAACTATTAACGGGATACAAACCGGAGGAACCAGGCATGGAGGGAGGTGGCAGAGACAGTGGGTGAAACTGGTAGGTTTTCGCCTGTTTGGGGAGTTTATATATATATATATTGCTCGCAAAAAATCCCCGGGGTTTTTTGCTTTGTATGTCGGGGGCGGGAGATTCATGTGATTGGTTGTTGGTCGCGTTGCTCGCAAAAAATCCCCAAGCTTTCAGACACGCCCAGCTCCAAGATTTTCAAGATTTTTTGAAAAGCTGCTGTGTGGACGTACCGTAAGAGTTAGACCTAACACACTTAGCTATTTTATCTACCTCTGGAACAAGCTAAACTAGTTATTATAAATATATGTATTCTTCATTGTCGGGTCACTATTACTGGATCAGTGAGCTGCATGAGATACTGACAGGCTGTCAGGAGAGAGAGAGGGGGGGGAGAGAGAGAGGAAAAGAGAGCGCTTCCGCTAATTTCTCCCGTGTTATCCAAAGTGAATGTAAACTTGAATAATGTACATCATTTGAATGTAATAATTAAGTTGATTGTTGTTTGTGGAAGCTCCAGTGAATGAGCCCCATTAACTGAGTTTTAAACATCACTTTAAATGGAAGATTTAAAGTGATGTTTAAATCTTCCATTTAGGCCCCGCCCACTCGATCGGATCGGCGATCGGTATCGGCCGATACTGATTCCGGCGATCGGCAATCGGCCCCGAAATTGGCGATCGGAGCATCCCTAGTAAATAACCTTACTTTAAAACTCAGAGGACAAAAAAAGCGACAAATAACGGACTTTTTACTTTTCTTAACAACAGCAGTCCTGATCATAACTACCTAATATTCAATCATTTAAGAATTGGATACACATTTTATTACAGACTTAATTAAAGACATGAGGTTTCACTTCAATAACCATACCCTTTCAAACCTGTGTGCAGTTACAGAGCCAAAGTCATCTTAAAATGTACTCAAAATGAATAATTGGATGTTTTTGATCAACTGAGATTTTTCTAGTGATTTATATTTTGTTAATGCAAAATGACTTTCTTCCAAAAAACTAATGAGCTCTAGGGACCTCTGAAAAACACAAGATTTAATTAACATTATTATTTTTGGAGAAACTCAATTTTACAGATTGTGACGGGGTTCTATTGTCCGTATGAAAACACTGGCCTAGTCGGTTGGGTTAAGCTCCAACATTTTAATAACAGCAGCAAAAAAATTAATAACGAACCAGCACAACTTAAACAA